TTGAACACCTGTTCTGAAATCTTTTCTGTACATACCTCAGAGTGGAACTGCTATGTCATATGGTAATCTAGGATTAACTTTTTGAGGAAGCATCAAACTGTTTTTCAAAGTGACTGACCATTTTACATTCCCACCAGCAATATATGAGATTTCTAATGTTGAATAAAAGTGAAAAGAGCTAGCATCTTGTATTGTTCCTGATCTTAGGTTGAAAAATTTTGGACTTCACCATTAAGTATAATATCAGTTGAAAATTTTTCATAAATGTCCTTCACCTTGCTTTCTAATCTGTTCTAACCTGTTTTTTTGAGTGTTTTCATCATGAAAACGTGTTGGATTTTGCCATATGTTTCCACATTGAGATGGATTTCCCTCCTTCATTTTATTACTGTGGATATATTACACATTGATTTTTTTTTTTTCTCTATTTTGAACTACCCTTACATACCTGGGAGAAATGTCAGTTGGTCATGACATGTAATTGCATTAATATGTTGCTAGGTTCAGGTTGCTAGTATTTCATTGAAGATTTCTGCATCTATAGTCATAAAGCCATTGATCTACATTTCTTTTACTTAAGATGTTTTTATCTGGCGTTAGTATCAGGATAATGCTGGCCTCATAGAATGGTTGAAAAGTGCTCCTTTCCCTACTATTTTTTGAAAGTGTTAGAGAAACACTGATATTAATTCTTCTTTCAATGTTCAGTAGACTTCACCAGTCAAACTATTTGGTCCTGGGTTTTTCTTTGTTGGGAGATATTTGGTTACTGATTTAATCTCTTTACTTGTTACAAATCTGTTGAGATTTCCTACTTCTTCCTCAGTCAGTTTTGATAGCTTATGTTTTCCTAGAAATTTCATCTTGGTTATCTAAATTTGTTCATATTATTATCTTGTCCATAGTATTATAATCTTTTTTATTTCTGAGAGGTGTATAGTAATATCCCCAATTTTCTGATGATTTTCATAATGCAAGTCTTTTTTCTTTGCTAGTCTAGCCAAAGGTTTGTGAATTCGGTTGATCTTTTCAAAGAAACAACTTTTGTTTTCATTGATACTATTTATTGTTCTTTTTAATTCTTGACTTCATTCATCTCTGCACTAATCTTTATTATTTCCTTTCTTTTCCTAGCTTTAGCACATTCATTCTTTTTTAGTTCTGTGAGGTATAGAATTAGGTTACTGGATTTGGGATCTTCTTTTTTGATGTTAGCATTTATGGCTATAAATTGTCCTGCGAGCATTACTTTTGCTGTAGCTCATAAATTCTGGTATACTGTGTTTTCATTTTCATTAATTTCAAAGTATTTTCTAATTTCGTCTATAATTATAGCCTTGATTCACTGAGTTTTTTTGAGCATGTTGTTTAAAATCTACATTTACATGGACTTCCTAGGCTTCTTTCTGTTAATCATTTCTAGTTTCACTCCATTAGATCAGATAGGATACTTGGTATGATTTCAGTCTTTTTATTCTATTGAGATTTTTAATATAGCTTGACATATGGTCTATCATGAATAATGTTCAATGTCAACAAGAAACAAATGTGCTTTCTCCTGCTATTGGGTGGTGGTAAGTCTGTTAGGCCTAGATTGTTCTAGTGCTGTTCAAATCTTTTTCATTACTGATCTTTCTTTTTTTTTTAAGTTCTTTTTACCATTCTTGAAAGTGAGGATAGAGTGAATTCTCAAACTCTTATGAAAAACTGTGTATTTCTTACTTTAACTCTTGTCAATTTATACTTCATGTATTTCTGGGTATGTATATGATTTTGATATCTTCTTGATGGAATGGCCCTTTTGAAGGGCCATTAATGAAGATGTTAATGAAGATGTTAATGAAGATGTTAAGTATTGTTTCTTGTAATATGTATCGGCCAAAAGTCTATTTTGTGTTATATTAGTTTAGCTACCCCAGCTCTCTTTTGGTTACTATTTTCATGGATTATATTTTTCATCCTTTTGTTTTCAACATACTGTGGATCTTAGATGAGTCTCTTATAGACAGCATATAATTGAATCATGTATTTTTATCCATTCTAACACTCTCTGTCTTTTAATAGTAAAGTTTAATCTATTTAATCCATTTTCATGAATGCAATTACTATTAAGAAAAGACTTATTTCTGCCATTTTGCTATTTGTTTTCTATAATACTTAAATATTTCTGATTCCTTAATTTCTCCATAATTGCCTTCTTTTGTGATTAGCTGATTTTTTCCCCCAAATGTATTTAGTTTCCTTATTGGATTTATATTGGTATTTTTATTTTATAGAATTTTTCACTGGAGATTACAATTAACACCTTCATAAAAATTGAGTTTGAATTAAAATCAATGTAGTTTCAGTAGTATTGGAAAAAAAAAAACAAATCTCTGTGCCTTTACTCCCTCCATGTTGTCATTTTTACAAATTACACATTTATACATTGTGTGCTCATTAACATAGATTCATAATTTTATCCACTTAATAATTATATAGGAAATAAGAGATGCAAAATAAAAATGCAATCACACCAACTTTTGTATTTATCTTTGTAGCTGCCTTATTGTTTTTTATTTATTCATATGGCTTCAGATTACTAACATCCTTTCCTTTCTGCTTAAAAGACTACCTTTAGGATTTCTGATAGAACAGTCTGCTAGAGATGGAGGCCCTCAATTTTTGTTTATCTGGAAAATCTAAATTTCTCCTTTATTTTTGAAAGATGCTTCTGCAAGAATTAGAATTCTTATTTGAAAGGCTTTGTTTTGTTTTCTTCTAGCATTTGAAATGTGTCATTCCACTGGCCTCTGGTCTCCATAATTCCATTTTTTTAAAAGATTTTATTTATTTACTTGAGAGAGTGAGCACAGAGGGAGAGGGAGAAGCAGGCTCCCCACTGAGCAGAGAGCCCAACATAGAGCTCCATCCCAGGACCCTGAGATCATGACCTGAGCTGGAGGAAAATGCTTAACCAACTGAGCCACCCAGGTTCCTCTGACCTCCAAAATTTCTGATGAGAAATTGTTATTTTTATTGAGGATCCCTTACTCATGATGAGTCGCTTCTTTCTTACTGCTTTCAAGATACTCTTTGTCCCAGGCTTTCAGTAATTTGACTATAATGTGTGGACTTCTGAGTTTATCCTACTTAGAGTTCATTGAGTTTTAGTAAATTATAAATTCACGTCTTTCATCAAATTAGGGGATTTTTAGCCAATGTTTCTTCAAATATTCCTTCTCTCCCTTTTACTCTTCCCTGTTACTCCTGGACTCCCATTATGCGTACATTTGTATTTGTGATTATGTACCTCAGATCTATTAGGGTCTGTTCATTTTACTTCATTCTTTTGTCTTTCTGCTCCTCAGCCTGAATAATCTCAATTGGCCTATTTTCAAGTTCACGGATTCTTTCCTCTGCCAGCTCAAATCTATTGATGAACATCTCTAATTAACTTTTCCTCCAGTTATTATACTTATCATCTCCAGAATATCCACTTAATTCTTTTTTATAATTCCTATTTCCTTATTGATAATCATAATTTGTTGAGATATTAGTCTCCTGGTTTTAACTGTCCATGGAGTTTCCATTAACTCTCTGAGAATATTTAAGACTGCTGATTTAGTTATTGTCCAATAAGTCCAACATTTAAGCTTTCTCATGGTCATTTTAAAAAGTTTTTTCTTTTTTTCCCTTGTTAGTGAGACAAACTTTCTTTTTTCTTTCTTTGCCTGCTTCACAATTTTTGTAGAAAACTAGACACTTTAAACAGTTTAACGTTAAATAGAAATAAGATTACCTTCCCTCTGTTTGGTTTGTTGTTGCTGCTTGTTGTGGGTTTTTCTGTTTAGTAGTTCTTCTAAACACATTTGGCAATGTCTGTATTCTTTGTCATGTATGACAATTGAACTAAGTGTTTCATTAGCTTACTGGTAAATTTATGTTCTCTCCAAGTTATCTTAAATACCTAGAGTCAAAAGAAAAAAAAAAAAGGAAAGAAGGGAAAGGAAAAGAAGGAAAGGAAAGACAAGGGGAAAGGAAAAGGACAGGGCTTTCTCCCCATAGCTATCTATGGGGAGAATACGAAAAGGAAAGGAAAAAGGGAAAAGGAAAAAAAAAAAATACTCTTCTAGTCTTAGTAGATTGGCTCTCTGTTAAAGCATTCCTTCAATGCTTATCCAGGCTATTTACAACTCTGCTTCTACTTTTAATTGTTGCCTGCACAGATCCAAAGATAAAAGATCAGGGTCTTGGGTTTTCTCTGAGCATGTGCCTAGCTCTGGTCATATGTGTGCACTTTTCGATTCTGCAGTATACATAACAGCTTTGAAAAACCCTATTTCCCCCATGTATGTCTTCTTTCCCAGGCATTTTGGTCTGTCTAACATTTGTCCCAACTGTTATTCACAGCTTCAGACAGTGGTGGCAAGTATATGCCTTTAAATGCTTTCAGTAAACATTGCCTGTAAGTGGTTCCAGCTGAGTGATTGCTCTAAGGCAAAACAAAGGCAAGGCTTTGTGCTGGTTCTTCAAGAAGTCATTAGACAGGTCAAAACACTGAAACACAATTCTTTGAGAATAAGGTCCATATAGTTTTCTCTGGCACTGGCAATCTGAACCACAAGTACAGGCTGCTCTGTTCATGGCCACCACTGATTTGGGGGCTAGAGGATGGCAAGCAGGCAATTCGTAGTGCCATAGCGCTCTCTTAATACAATACAACAGACTCTTCATTAACTTTTCCCCGAGTTGTTGTTTTTTACTAAATTCAGATTTCTACAAAAGTTGATTCTGTCGAATTTTTTCCAAAATTTTTTTGAGGTGAAACAGAGCCTGAGAGATTTCTATTCTACCATTTTCAATGATATCCCAATTCTTATATATTTAAAAATGCATTTTAATAACAAATATGAAAAATTCTTTTTAACTTATTTCTTTTTAAATAAAACTCATCTACAGCACCTTAATCATTAAAATTTGAACATAAAAACAATTTAAAAAGAATGAAAGGTCCTTACCATTCCTCAAGAGATGTTTCAAACTGTAAAAATAAAATATCTCAATAAATATCTCAAAAAATAATAGACTTAGCTTACAATTAAACTCACTGATAAAACCATAAGTACTCCACTTCACAGACCCCATTATATTTTTGTCAAACTATACTTTGTTATTTCTAAAACAGATACATACCTCTACTACCTAGTCCTTTCATTACTCCCACTGTATTGTTCTTACCTTTCACCTGTGTTTCTAAATCTTACTCCTTCATCAAGGGCTTATTCAATGCCACTTACTCCCAAAAGACTTCCTAAATAATCAGAAGTGCATTATATCCATTAATTTTTAATATATAACCAAAGGGTGGAAAACATTCTGGTATGTTCACAAATATTTAGTTTTCCATAGTGTCCCTCTTTTAGACTATAAACGTCATGGTAGAAGTCATGTTCTACAGAATATTCTGAAAGTATCCTGGGCTATCAAAGTCACAAATTACCAAAACCACAAGGGATACATAGTCATAATTTTTTAGGTTTCATAGATAATCTCTACAGGTGTTAGCTGGGCATACATGGTTATTATAATTCTACAATATCTTCAAATAGGCCTTGTGTTCTAGACATGAATTTTATCTCAATTAAAAAATTAAGAAAATTGGAACAAAGTACGGACTTTAGTAATAAAGTATCAATATTGATTCATTAATTGTAAAAATGTACTATCCTAATGTAAGATATGAAAATAGGAAAAATGTGGCCCAGAGTATAGATGAAATCTCTATATTATCTTCTCAACTTTTCTGTAAGTCTTAAACTGTTATAAAATAAAGTCTATTTTAATAAAACAATACTATTTAGGAGAACATAAAAATTAATCAAAGGAAAGTAAATTATGAAAAAAGTAAATTAAAGAAAAAAACAGTATGGCCATGGCTTTTGAGTTATTAGATTAAATTCAATCAGATTAATATGAAACTCCAAAGTTCTTATGCAGATTATAACATTTTGGACTAAAAAGCAAAAGATTCAAAATGCAAAGACAATTCCAATTTATAACAGTGTTATAGACTAAATTGTGTTCCTCTAAAACTTGTATATTGAAGCCCTAATCTCATGTGACTGTATTTGAAGATAGGATCTTTAAGGAGAAAATTAAAGTTAAATAATGTCATAGAATGGGATCCTAATCCAATAAAACTGGTGTTCTTATTAGAAGATGAAAAGACACCAGAGCTCACTCTCTCACCATGTGGGCATAGAAGAAAGGCCATGTTAGGACACAGTGAGGAGGCTGTTTTCAAGCCAGGAAGAGAATCCTCAGTAGAAACCAACTGTGACAATACCTTGATTTTGGACTCTAGCCTCCAGAACTGTGAGAAAATAACCTCTGTCTTTTTTTTTTTTTTTTTAATGGCAGCTGAACAAATTACTACAGGAAAAAGTTTAGGATAAATACTCGGGTCTATTTCTTATGGAAATCTAAGTACCTCTCAGAACGAAGAACTCAAAGAGTAAAGCAGAAATGAGAAAAACCATAAATTAGGAAACTATCCCCAGGAAGCAAAATTGAATCCTAAGCAAGAAACTTTTTAGATTCACATGTGGTAGACCTAATACCATGTACCCTCATTAATTTCAGAATTTCAGGCATTAGTGAAAGATGTATCTTTCATTCTCCCCTTTTTGAATAACAGTATATATTGTGATAATTTTGTTCCTGCCCCACCATTGCTGCTAAGTATACAGGAGCAGTATTTAACATCATTTTAATTCACAGACCATCAGGTCAAAAGAAGCTGAAACCAGAGAACTTCATCTGCATCAGATCTGCTGCAGAACATATAATCATAGACCTCTGCATGAGACCATAACAGAATAAAACTTTTGGGGAGTTGGTGATTAGAGTCTGCAATTAGATGAGCTGTTAATCATGTTGCCAATGGACTAACTGATAGATTGATTGCTACACAAATTGTTCCCAAAGAATCACATCTCCTGGCTTCCCCATCTTGTCTAATATTCTACCATATTAAAAGAGGGTTTGATTATGTGCTTTGCTTTGGCCAGTAGGATATGAGCAAACATAAAACAAGCAAATATTTTAAGCTCTTGCCCATTGAGATTTGTCCTCTTAGAACACCATCCCAGACATGAGTGTGAGGCCATCTTCATCACCATTTCAAGTTGTTAGCAGATGTGTACATCTATATGATTGGCCCCAGGCAAGAACTAACAAAATTGCCCATCTGAGCTCAGAATAAATTGCTTAATAATATTCCAATAAATGCTTGTTCTAGTCACGAAGTTTTAGAAAGAGAGAGCCAGAGAGACTGAGAGAGAAAGAATAGGTGTATGTATGCCTATATCAATAGCTAAAGAAAAAAACAGTGCTTTATTGCTCTGAAAAGATTTTCATTAGAGTAATAGGGACCAAATCCAGATTGTAATGAATATATGAGCAATTGGGAGGTGAATAAACAAACACTAATTTTAGGTAACACTTTTCAGATGTTAAGTAATACAAGAAGAAAGAGGAAAAGGGATATATTTAAACATATGTGTAGGATTAAAAAAATTCTTGAAAACAAGAGAATCATTCAAAATTTAATATTTTAATTGTGGACAGAAGTGAGTTAAGAGAAAAGAAGGAAATATGGACGATAGATATGAACACCTGATGGAACAAGATCCTTACAAAAACTGAAGATGGAATACAGGTAAGGGGAGTAGCCACTGATGGGGGAAGGAAATTTTCCATGGGGACAAAAGGAATAATATTTATGGAATTCAAGGATGTTCCTAAGTGGGATAATAGGAGTTTGAAGCATTTCTGTTGTCATATCTCCTATTTTCTTTGGGAAGTGAGAGGTGAATGAGTCGTAAAGTAGAGGATTTGGAGACTTGAACAAAAGAGAGGACTGAAGTAGCCACCAGAGAATACTAGACAAAATTCTGGTTGACAAGCAATAATTTCACACAAAGGTCCCATTGATGTTGGAAACAATGTATCCATAACATTTCAAATTGGGATTGTTGTGTAATGTTCTCTGGCACTATTCAGCAACCTGGGGTGTAGGAGTAGAGATGGCCCACCATCAGAGAGATCTCATCAGGACTCGCATTTTGTCAGACTAGAAGTATAAAAAAGTAAATAACCAGATGCACCAATTAATGAGTGTTTTAACAGATGAATTAATTAGTCAAGGAAGTAAAGGAAAATGGGGATGATAGATAGGAAATAATGGATATTTCAGGATTTGAAGTGTTCTTAAATTTCAAACGAAATATTACAATTAACAGAATTAGAGAACTCAAAGTATCAGAGATTTGGTCAGTAGGGTCAGATGATTAAATATTACTTTTCAGAACTGAAAACATTAAGAAGTGGTGTAAGCTCAGCAAAATTTTATAATCAGAATTTTAAGCATTTTAACAGTCATATTTGTGTGGTCCTCAGAGGTGAAATACTCTCTGGAATACATGACCCAGAGTGGTGGAGAACAGGATGTTCTGAGATATCAGACACACTGTCTGGATGCTAGCTCTGCCACTGACTATGTGATCTTGGGGAAAATCAACCTCTATTGTTGAGGTACTCAATCCTCATCTGTAGCTGGGGTAATGGCAGTTTCTAACTCACAAGGTTTCTGGAAGGTTTCAATGAAATCATACATATTAACTATTTAATATAGACTATGATATATAGTAGGCACCTAATCTGTATTAGCTGTATCACTGTTATTGATAATAACATTACTATTTTTGTATAATACATTCTTAATATTTTAAAGAATGATTTCTAAATACTTTCTATGTCATTCTTTCAAATCATGGTAACAATTTAAAGATATGTATTGATTAAGTGAAGAAAATTTCAATTTAGTAGAAATTAAATAAAGCTATCTCTAGGCAGTCTAGAAAAACAGGTGGAAGAAAAATAAAACAAAACCTTTTACTCATATGGGAAGATATCCAGGTAATTATTTCCATCATATTGCCATGTTTTCTCATTCCTTGCAAAATTATACAGAACATGTTCATAGTAGCTCTACTTTAAAGAAATTTCTTTTCAAAATTCAAAATTGCAGTTAAACTGCTATGAATGCATTGACAAGCTTACGGCAGATTCATCTCTCTGCTAATCACAGGCTTGACAGTATTCATTGTGACTATAACAGAAACCACTGTGATTTAATGGGCAAACAAACCCATAATGGTTGATCCAAAAAGGACTAATCTTTCACTCATTTAATGTAGTCCATACCCAAAGTAGATGATAGCCTTACGATTAGTTATAGAGCTTTATCTTATAAAAGATTTAAGTGATCCTGATTAAAACGAATAAGATTCTCCCCAAAAGAAACCTCACAACCATCCATAGTAGCCCCCAACCCCAGGAAACTAATCTGCTGTCTCTACAGACTGACTTACGTAGGACATTTCACATTAATGGGATCATACAACGGGTGTTCTTTTGTGTTTATAGTAATGATCACACAACTGTGTAAATACACTAAAAACAACTGATTTTTATACTTTAAATGACAAACTTTATGGTATGTAACTTATCTCAATAAAGCTGTTTTAAAAAGTCAAGCAGTTTACAGAAAAACACAATTGACAATTTAGACAAAATTGAAAAGCTTCAATTAAAAGAAGAAAAACTGCCCACCTAGAAAGGGCATCACTTTCTTTCCCTTTGTCTTTGACTCCCCCCCACCAATCCCAACATAAATGTATTCCTTGCAGTCCCCAAGAAAAACCCAATAGGTAAAGGCAGTGACTGGGACTACAGACGATTTAATAGAATTGGAAAATGTTAAACTCCTCCCAAAAGTACAATCAGCTGATAACTTTTATTAGATAAAATGCTTTTAAGTGGTAAAAATGTTGAGAAGAAATGTCCTTTTTCTGCATTTTGTCCAGGCACTCTGGAATTATCAAAATGCACCCAGACACACATTTGTAAAAATTTGGCATTTTCTCAGGAATAATTGTATACTCTAAATATTTCTGACACAAGTAACCTACTCTATTTGAAACTAGATTTTATGCTTATATTTAACTAGTTCTGAATTATGATCTACAAGAAAATATAACATATAATCATTTCTCAAAAACCCAGATGTGTTTACTTTTTGGAAGTAACATATCCTTGTAGCTTTTGTTTATCAAAAAAAATCATAAACTTTATTTTTAAAATTTCCTTCAAGTCCTATTTCTTAATTTTCTTTAAATTTTTCAATAAAGACTATGAATGTAAAGTTGTCTAATCAGCAGTATTAAAAGTTCATTTTTCCAAGTAATACTGGAAATTTCTTTTCATTTTGGTGCATTAGAAAAAAGAAATCTATCTTTTTAAATAATATATATTTAAATATATTCTATTATCAGTTCAACACTAGTTGAACTGTTCAATATACTTATTAATATAATATATTAATAGTATATAAGTATATTGAACAGTTCAATATATTCTATTATCAGTTCAACACTAGCAAATTTAAGGACAAAATACATAGTCAAAATAAAATAACATTTTTTAAAATTTAGAAAATATAAAAAGCCTAAATTAAGTACTGAATTTTTTTTAAAAAAAGGTTATAAGCATTAATTTCACAATTAATCTTTCAAATAAAGTTTATGTGTATATTTACTTGTTAACACATTGTTATATTTATTACAGTTTTTGTCTAGAAGTGTATTTATCTGTCATTGCTACTTGTGTATTTCATGTTGTCAAACTACCAACAAACATTCCATGTCAATGTGAGAAATAAGGCCTTCTTTTGTCCATAAGGCTTATAAAACAGAAACTGAAAGGGGCTTTGGAATCAGAAGGAACTTGATTCAAATTCCAACTCTAATGCTTACACCTGTATGATGGTATATAAATTACTTGACTTTCCTAAGTATTAGAATTTTCACCAATAAAGTAGGATTCCTGTGAAGTACAAATACAGAAATATACATTTGGTAAGTGACTAGAAAACAGCAGATTTTTTTGTTTTTTCTTTTTTTTTTTTTTTAAGATTTTTTATTTGAGAGGGAGGGAGAGAGATTGCGCACAAGGGGGTAGGGGCAGAGCCGGAGAGAGAGAGAGAATCTTAAGCAGACACTGTGCTGAGCACATAGCCCAACGTGGGGCTGAATCTCAGGACCCTGAGATCAGGACCTGAACTGAAACCAAGTCAAATGCTTAACCGACTGCATTACCCAGATGCCCCTAGAAAACAGCAGATGTTTGGTAAATGGTGCTATTACTGTATTGGGTGGATAGGTGTCTCAAATGTATGTAGAAAAGAAAGGTTCTGCTTCAGGTCCTCATTTGTTTTTCCATTTATTGAGCACCTACTATCTATCAGGCTCTAAGCCAAGCACCAGAAGACAGAAAGTCACTCTGATGCTGGTCTTTATAAGGCTTTTTTTCTTTATTCACCCGGCTCATTTTCATAACACATTTACATAAGAAAGGCTCCTTTTTTTTCAGTTATCCTGAAGCTATAAAATGGTTTATTTCGTGAATTATTTTATCTAAGGCAATCTTTTAGTTGGCCTATTATCCATAGTATTTAACAGTTTATCAACTGCTCAGAATCCCAAGTGGGATTGGGTAAAAAACACAGGTTTTGATAAAAGATAGTGGGTTCAAATCCCAATTCTATCTTGTGATCTTGAACAAGTTTCTCAACTATTTAAGTTGTTATTTCCCCATCTAACAGTTAGATAAAAGAATAACCATTTAAGGGGCATGTGGTGGTTCAGTTGGTTAAGCATCTGCCTTCAGCTCAGGTTATGATCCCAGCATCCTGGGACTGAGTCCCACATCAGGCTCCCTGCTCAGTGGGCAGCCTGCTTCTCCCTCCCCTATTCCCCCTGCTTGTGCTCTTTCTCTCTGTCAAATAAATAAATAAAATCTTTAAAAAAAAAAAAAGAAAAAGCATTTAAAAATAGTTTTGAGCAATTATAATTGTTAATAGAGCTGTTATAATCATAGCTATTGGAATTATTAAAAACCTATAAATATATTTTCATTATTTAAAAAACATGCCTAATCATTAAGTTAAAAATGTGTGAGATATATAGAATATCATATCAATAAAGATTAATTCTCTTCTACCTACTTAACAATATTTCTCAAGGCCCAGGACACCATCAGACCTATGACCCACAAAGCATTTTCTGAAAAGGTATGCTGATTTGGAGAAACAAAGAAGAAACAAAGATAAATATAATAAATATAAATAAATATAATACTAATATAAAATGATATAAATATTATAGAAACAACAATAGCTAATATATATTGAGTGCATATCATATGCTGGCATTATGTCCAACACAATGTTGTTATCTCCATTTTTATCTGAAGTCCTAGAATACATGGCTCTGAAGTCTGCAACTTTAAGGATTGTACTCTAATGCTTCTTGAAGGAGGCATCACCCTACCACAAGCATCACGACTATTCCATCAAAACTTTCTCAGAGCCAGATCCAATAATTGTGGTGAGGAAAGAGAAGGAGCTCAAACTTATCCTCCTGCTTGGGCAATCTGGTTTTGCACTAATTGTTCAGAATAAGCTTAATAAAAGGTATAAGAAGGTATTTATCATTCCTAAATCATCTGAACAAAACTGAAAGTTACAGTGATCTCAAGATTGAAGTCCCTTAAGAATAATAAAGGCAAATGGGTTAAAAGGACAGGAAGAATCATTACATTCTCCCTCAACAAGACCTATTAAGTATTTCTTCAGAACAAAATAAGTCATTAAAAAGGGCACGCTGTCCTTTTACATACCAATTTCCTCAGCTAATCATCTAATCAGTTTAGTGTCCCTAAAAACGATGTAAATACTATTTAATTTACTAGTCAAGTTGGCTTATGGAAATTACTACTTAGCATTATTGCCTCCGGATAAGGAATAAACAGGTAGGGAAAATAATCTATTCAGTAAGGTCGTTTCACCTTTATGAAGTGAGATTATCAAAAACATGTCTAGATTAGTAAATTACACAACTGAGCCAAGATTCTATAAAATATTTCAAATATCATTTAAAAAATAACTCCCTGGGTTCTTTAAATAACAGCCCTTACAGGATTTATAGAGCTTACAAAAATGTTAGCATTTTAAATCTTACCCGTTTCAAATGCTCTTGTATTTTAGATTCCAAATCTTCAATGTGTGAAATCATTTTGTTGACACATGGTGCTGGGATGTTTACTAAAGCACAGCTTTGACGTCGACATGGGTAGCTAAAGTAAATGCCTTTATTCACCCCTTAAAAATAAAGCAGGCAGGAATGAGTTAATAGTTACATGCAAAATAATAAACTGTGATGTTCAGAATACATAAAAAATATTCTGTTTTATTAATATTAATACCTTTTAACTTTCTTTAATAAACAAATCAATAAATATTTCAGAAAATAATAGAATAATAATGATATTAAACTTACATAATTACATAATGTGATCCATAACATCATAAACTAAACATTGAAAACAACTAATAAAAAAAGGCAGAAAACCAGTTAATCCAACTGTTACTAAATAGTTCCTGAATCACTTAAAAAATGACTTTGAAATATATTTTAAATTCTCCCTTCAAAGAGAGTCCACATCTTCCAGTGTAAATAATATCCAACCACTCATGCATTGAAGAAGTTCTTCTTTAAAACCAGCATGAGTTTCTCTTGCTGGAAAAAAAAAAAAAAATAAAAGCAGGTCCCCTTCATCCTTATAATAACCTCATTTTCTACCTTCCATTTCTGAAAATTGGAGTCTCATGCAAAGAGTGATTGATGTTCCCACTACAGCATTCAAGTTGTACTCATCATAAAATCCACTCAGTCCGATGTGCCTCAGTGATTCTAATCCTGACATGTCCCGAATCAACTGAAGGTTGCAGAAGCACAGCAAAGTTGTCCATGAAACTCCACCAAAGTGCTTACTTGCAATCCTTTTGCCTCTAAGGACTCTACTGGGCTGGATTATAGCTGCAATCACTGATCTTAAATGCAAGACACAAAATAGGCTTGGTGCCTCAGTGAGAACAGTGTGATGTCCTCATTTCAGATGACCTTGAAGAACACAGAACTTATGCTGTTGCCCCAGACTGTGCTTTTTTGTTTCAATGCCAACCCAGAGACAGCAAATTACCTTCAATTAAACAGCAATCTTTTAAATATCTTTTAAATAAAGTCTCATAATACCCCTCCTCCAAAATCAATATCTCTGTAAAAATAGCCTATCTCCTTCACTTATGAACAAAACCCTATCCCATATATTACATATACATATTTATTTTAAGAACTAAGAATATGTGCCAATCCTGGAACTATGTTAAGTACTTTTGATTCTACATTTTATTTATTCCTCACTACAATCTTATGAAATGGGATTATTACCTTGATTTCATAGATAAGGACCAAAGGCATAAAAGAAGTTAAATTATATAATATGTCTATATCTACAGAGCTGGTAGGTGAGAGAGCTGAGACTTGAACTGTATCTCCTTGGCTTTGGAGTATAAGCTATACCTTAAAGGTTGTTTTTATATTTTTAAAAAGATAGCAAAATAAAGAGAAGCAATCCTAAAACTATATTTCAGGGCAGTTCAAATGTTCCACATTTTCATTTGTTTTTGAATTTTGGTTGTTCCTTCAGGACATCAGTCTTGATATTCTAATGTATCTTAGTTTGCTCCGACTATACTCAACACATATATTTGCTATGAGCATTTTGTGTGTTATATTCCATCTTTTCTCTTTAGTTCACACATGGATATGTATTTTCATCTCCATAATAGTCATGGGACTTAAGAACAAGCTGGTGAAAATTACATATTGATCTCCTATCCAAATATCTTGATAAGGGCATGTTGCCTTTCCCTCTAGTAATAAGAAAGTTTTAATACATATTTAACAACCAGGCAGTTGTCCTTATACTCAAAACATTTGTCTTGCTTCATTAAATGTGGACAAAACAAGGATAGTAATGACTCATTTAACATTTTTCTGCATGTGCTACCCTAAACCTATTATGTGAATACTAATTAATTTCCATAGCACCCTACGGTTTAGGATTAACATTTTACATATGGTAAAGTGGAAAAAATAAAGATACTCTGAAGTTAAAATTTGCACTAAAAGTCTATAAAAGACATGACATCATAAGTAGCCAATGCAAAACAGAATTCAGGAGTTACCATCACTGTTTTTATTCTAATTACAGATGTAGTGTAAGTTAAAACTTTCTTTTCTGTTTCTTTTTAATTCTACCCAGCTTAAAGAGATACTCTAGATCACTAAACTGGTTTATTCATTTTTGACATTTTTAACATTATTTGACTAACTATGCTTAGGTTAAAACTACTCAAGTCTCTAATCTCACATTTCTCACTTAATAAATGAATGGGTTGGTGGGGTGTTATATAAAATCCTTTTTATCTAAAATTTAATGATAACAACTAATTAATGATTTTAGTCAAACATATTGACAGAACTCCTCTTTGTGAAAAGCCTGTGCACAAATGATCAGGGTGAGTCTATTTTTTCTAAGATTTATCTATTTTGTGGGGAGGGAAGAGTCAGGAAAGGGAGAGAGAGAATTCTCAAGCAGACATCCCAGTAAGTGCAGAGACAGACACAGGGCTCTGACCCAGGACCCTGAGATCAGGACCTGAGCTGAAATAAAGAGTCAGACTCTTAACTGACAGCCACTGAGGTGTCCCACAGGGTGAGTCTTTAAAGACTTGAGCTCAGGCAAGACTTTCATCCTCTCTAAACATCTGCCCAACTTTAACTTTCTTGCTCATAATCAATGCCTAAGAAGTAAGTAAGATCTTCCTGGATCTAGGCTACGTTTGAGGTTTGTTAAGGCTCTGCAACTATGGACCAGCTGATTATGTGGGCAAATAAATAAATATACTATGTTTATAAACTGCCAACTCTCCTTGCTCAGTGAAGGTGATCTTTATGTAATTTATTCATTCAGCCTTTCCTTCCTTCTCTCCTGCTTTTAATATAGTTCCTTTATGTCTATCATCCCAATTATTGTATCATCCCTTTATCTCAACTCAGCACTCAGGAGAAAACTTCTCTTGACACAGATTTGTTTTTCACATTCTGTTATCCCTTTTAACATCCTGACTTTCCTTCCAAAATGTAGAAAAAGTCAACGCTCTCAAGCTTAGAAATAATTTCTATTCCTTGCAAAGCCTCTGTCTGATTAACAAAAAATACATTGTTTTTTGTTTGCTTGTTTGTTTGCTTTTACAGAAACAAAGCTTCTCTTAGTTTTCGTTACACACTTGGGGGATCAGGGGTCCGGGGGGGGTACCTTTCCATGATATTAGAGTTACTTTATTTTCATCGAACCTTAAAACATTGAAGACACTTATCACTAAATACGTAAAATATTATGCATAGACCCCAGAGTCGGAGATGGCTAAAGACTGCATCTACTCTAACCACTACATAAATGGCTCTGTTCAGTGTTTACCTATCTCTATTCCCTTCAGTCTTTTCAAAATCTGCAATTTCAGTGTATTTAGTTTTGCTTCCCTTAAGTAATCACAAGTCTTCCTATTACTGTGTCTGACCACTTCCTACAGCTACTATCTTACAGTAAATTTTGCTTTGACTAACAATTCTTTTCAAATGAGCAAACTATACTAGCAGGCACAATATTCTCACATCCTGATCTCTTCTTCAAACTGAAATTGCTATGCAACTTACATGGCTCTTTCCTAATGAGGAATTCTTGAATCTTTCAGACATTTGCCTAAACCTAGTTATAGCATTTTCTATCCCTTTATTAGTATTCGGCTGTGTCACACTTATCTATTTCCCCATCCATCTTCCTCATGAAGTTCTGCATTCTTTATGGAGAGCAACTATGTTTAGTGCCTTCAAAAACTGTTGAATGAATGAATGAATGAATGAACACCTCTTTTTTTAATTTTACCATGCTGAAACCTGGCTTCTGTTTTCTCAACTTCATGAAATCTTCATTCACAAACCCCCATTAATCAGTATTTCCACTACCACTGGTGAAGAAGTAACTAAGATTGAGTCTTCCAAGTCTGGAAAAAATAAGTGAGACAACTGTTTTCAGACACTAGAAAACAGGAAAGCCAGCTTTTGATTCCTGAGAAAGTAAAATTCTTAAGGCTGAGCCCCATAGTCACCATGCTCTCTGCCAAGGGGCAATTTTTCAACTAAAATATAGAGATCTGGGGAAAGAAAAGAGCATGGAAATCCTGCTGAGATAAGGGGCAAAGACTAGTGCCATGGGTAATGGAAACAGAATCTTCAGGGCAGGAAGATGAAAAGGACATAGCCGTGCAGAGAAGAGCTCCCAGAAATCCGTACGAGTGCTCTCTGCATCTGTAGACAAGGGCTAGACTGTTTTTGTATCCAGAGCAAAATTACCTGAAGGTTAACAGAGAACGTGCCATGGAATTGAGAAAGGAGCAAAAACACTAGACGTTGAATGGTGTTAGTAAAAGAATAACAGACACATACACCAGTGGAACAGAGTAGAGAGCCCAGATATGGACCCGCAACTCTATGGTCAAATAATCTTCGATAAAGCAGGAAAAAATATCCAATGCTAAAAAGACAGTCTCTTCAAGAAATGGTGCTGGGAAAATTGGATATGTATATAAGCTATGTATATAAGAATGAAACTTGACCATTTTCTTACACCATATACAAAGATAAACTTGAAATAGATAAAAGACCTCAATATGAGGCAGGAACCTATCAAAATCCTAGAGGAGAACATAGGCAGTAACTTCTTCAACATTGGCCACAGCAACTTCTTTCAAGACATGTCTCCAAAGGCAAAGGAAACAAAAGCAAAAATGAACTTTGGGGACTTCATCAAGATCAAAAGCTTCTGCACAGCAAAGGAAACAGTCAACAGAACAAAGAGGCAACCCAAGGAATGGGAGAAGATATTTGCAAATGACACTACAGACAAAGGGCTGATATCTAAGATCTATAAAGAACTCCTTGGGGCACCTGGGTGGCTCAGTGGGTTAAAGCCTCTGCCTTCAGCTCAGGTCATGATCCCAGAGTCCTGGGATCGAGCCCCGCATCGGGTTCTCTGCTTAGCAGGGAGCCCGCTTCCACCTCTGTTGCTCTCTGCCTGCCTCCCTGCCTACTTGTGTTCTCTGTCTGTCAAATAAATAAATAAAATCTTTAAAAAAAAAAAAAAGAACTCCTCAAACTCAACACACACAAAACAGATAATCACGTCAAAAAATGGGGAGAAGACATGAACAGACACTTCTCCAAAGAAGACATACAAATGGCTAACAGACACATGAAAAGTGTTCATCATCATTAGCCATCAGGGAGATTCAAATAAAAACCACATTGAGATACCACCTTACACCAGTTAGAATGGCCAAAATAAACAAGACAGTAAACAACAAGTGTTGGAGAGGATGTGGAGAAAAGGGAACCCTCTTACACTGTTGGTGTGAATGCAAGTTGGTGCAGCCACTTTAGAAAACAGTGTGCAGATTCCTTAAGAAATTAAAAACAGAGCTACCCTATGGCTCTGCAATTGCACTACTGGGTACTTACCCCAAAGATACAGATGTAGTGAAAAGAAGGGCCACCTGTACCCCAATGTTCATAACAGCAATGGCCATAGTTGCCAAACCATGGAGAGAGCCAAGATGCCCTTCAACAGACAAATGGATAAAGAAGATATGGTCCATATATCAATAGAATATTATGCCTCCATCAGAAGGGATGAATACCCAACTTTTGTATCAACATGGACAGGACTGGAAGAGATTATGCTGAATGAAATAAGTTAAGCAGAGAGAGTCAATTCACATGGTTTCACTTACTTGTGGGGAATAAGGAATAACATGGAAGACATTTTGGGAGAAGGAGAGGAGAAATTAGTTGGGGGAAATTAGAGGGGGAGATGAACCATGAGAGACTGTGGACTCTGAGAAACAAACTGAGGGTGTTGGAGGGAAGAGAGGTGGAAGGTAGGATGAGCCTGGTGATAGATATTATGGAGGGCACGCATTGCATGGAGCACTGAGTGTGGTGCATAAAACAATGAATCTTGGATATTAAAAAAAAAAAAAAAAGAATATTGGTGAGGGATGGGGAGAAAAACCTTAGAACTCCAGTACTGACTATATATAGAGATTTCATCAGTGCCTCAAAAACACTCTCTTGTGTTACAGCTTAGAAGGAATGAATGTACATTAGAGTTAGAGCTAATTGAAATTAAATTGAAAGAAATCACTCAATCTAAAGAACAGAACGAAAAATGAAAAAAGGATAGATCCTGAAAAAACTGTGTGACAATGATCAAATAATCTAACATGTGCAAAGTTAAGGTTCCTCAAAAACAAGAAATCTGGAGTGAAAAATATTCGTGGAAATAATGGCCACATTATTTCATAATTTGACAAAAAATTTACATATCCAAGAAACTCAGCAAATCCCAAACAATTAAAATATCAAGAGAACTAACTATATCTAGGAATATCACAGTCCAATTACTGAAAAACAAAAATAAAAAGGAATTATTTAAAGTAGCCAGAGAACAAAAGGGAACATGACATAAAGAGAACATGGATATGAATAACTGCTACATTTCTCTGCAGAAAAAAGTGCAAGCCAAAATATAACAGAAAAATATCTTTAAAATACAGGCAGGCAGGCAGGAAGGCAGGAAGACAGAAAGGAAGGAAGGAAGGGAAGGAGGAGATACATTAAAGAAAAAAATAATAAATTGGACTTCATCAAAGACAAAACATTCAGCTCCTTAAAAAGATATTTAAATGAATGAAAAGACAAGCAAGAGAATGGAAGGAAATATGATTGCAAAGTTAGAACATGATTGGAGAACTGGAACTTTTAATCCCATTCCAGACCTCCAGGTAAGGGAGAAGGGCTGGAGGTTGAATCAACTGCCAAAGTCCAATGGTAAAGAAGACTCCATAAAATCCCAAAAGGACAGGGTTTGGAGAGCTTCCAGGTTGGTGAACACATGAATATTTGGGGAGAGTGCAAACTCAAAGAGGGCATGGAAAAATCTGTACCCTTTCCCCTACTTTATTCTATACATCTCTTCAATCTAGCTGTTCCTGAGTTATATCCTTTTCTAATAAACCAGTAATCTAATAAGTAAAAATATTTTTCTGAGTTATGGAAGCCATTCTAGCAAACCCAAGGAGGGGTGTTCATTGGAACCTCTAATCTATAGTTGGTCAAAAGCACAGGTGATAACCTGGGTCTTTGATTGGCCTCTGCAGTGGGGGGAGGGGAAGCCTTGTAGCACTAAGCCCTTAACTTCCAGGAACTGACTCTATTTCCAGGTACAAAGTGTCAGAACTGAGTTGAATTGTAGGACCCTAGCTCATGTCCAAGAATTGCCTGGTAGTGGGGAGATCTCATGTTCACACATTGGAATTGGGTACAGAACCTTTTAATTACTTTGTGCTATCTTTGTTATTACTCTAGATTGCTGTTCTTTAACCACTCTTTTCTGTTGTGTTGTACTAATTGGTTTGCAACTATATTTTATCTGGACTGCAAGATTATACACTCTATATAAAGAAAATTTCTTAAATAACTCTATAGCCTACTAGTACGTATATATTCTCCAGTGTCTTGAATTAACTGTTTCATAAACCAATCATTTGATATTTTACAAAGTTTGTCCCAAACTATGGAAATAAACCCTAAGCCAGATTATTAAAATTCTAATCAACATTTCTGCTGGAGAGAAAGAGATAAAGAATCAGAATGTCACCTTATCCCAATTTTATCCTGTCAAACTGAAAATCTCCACAGCAGAAGTTTATCAAAATCAAGATTAGAATTTTTTGATTAACATAGAGTTCTTCACCAAAACAAGCTGAAAAGAAATAAGCATGAGCCCCCTATACATGAAATCCACGCATTTTGTCATCTTTCTACCTCTTTCCACATACAATATCAGAACCACTTGTAAGAGTAAGAGCAAGTGTTTTATGGATTCTTAATTCTGAATTTCACACCATGAAAATATTAGTCCTACTTCTTTTTTCGTTTAAGAAACAAATCCTCAATGAACTGAAAAGGATCTAGGATCTGCTAGTCTTGGCATTAGTGATAAAGAAAATGCTTATTTTAAAAATTCAACATTTCTAAAATTATAAACGATTCTTATAGCCTAAATACAATCAACAGTACATTATTAATAAAATAGGTTATAATATTATATTCTTAATATTATAGTACTATGTTAACTATTAGTGATATTTATGATTCATTTCTTAATAAAAATATAGACATCAGAAATGAATGCATAAATGTAAATATAGCTTACAAAGATAACTACATAACTTACATTCAGTCCTTACCTTCAGTATTTGTCATTTTATTTTCATGAAAAATCTCAATGTCTTCCTTAGGGGCACCAAAGAGAACCAAAGCTTGTGATGTGGCATTGTCTTTTAAAAAGAAAACAAAAATCACAGTGAGCAGTTAATATAAATTTTTAAATAAGCAAAATAATGCATAAAACTATGTTGTTAAAGTATTGTCCTTGCAAAAGCAACTATAATTCAAATATTAACCAAACCCCACAGAAGAATATATTTAGATGTTTTCTCTGGTACTTCAGTTGGGTTAACTCTCAAAAGAAGGTATTCAAAATAGCACTCATCTATTAAAAGCAAACACTGAGAGACTGTCCAAAGTGACATCACCAAAACAATGGAGCAGGAGACTCTAGCTCCCATCCTACAATAAAGCTCAATAGTTAAATGGCTATGAACAAACAAAAATAGTTCTGGGAGAGCTCAGGAATTCATTCAACAAACTTCAGCATCACAGCAGAACAAAAAAGCCTGTGTATAACCTCACAAATAAGAAAGGAGGACAGTTTCATTTTGACTGCATCATCCCTTTCACCAGGCCAACACTGCTCAGCACCAAGAGGGAACACTCCAGCTTGAAATAGTTCCCCTCACTGGGAAAAGGAGAACAGGGTGAAAGAACAGCTTCCCCACCCTTTTGGACACTGCACAAAGGACCTGCTCTGGTTTCATCTTACTAAGAGACAGGCAAAAGCAAGACTTATGGAAATGCTTTGAACAAGGAAGAAGGGCAGAGGCTACCAATACAGTCATACAAAGAAAGTGATCAGAATTCCCAGTGGCCCACTCTGTGGAGGACCCCGTGAGCTTTGCCAGCACAGTTTTCCTTCTAATATAAAAGAGAAAGAAAGTGTTTCCCAGGCAAACCAAAGTGAGGAAGTTCATCACCACCAGACCTGCCTTACAAAATATGCTGAAAGGAGCTCTTCAAGCTGTTATGAAAACACTTTAATTAAAACATGAAAATATTTGAAAAAATAAAACATGTCAGTAAAAATAAGTATATGTCAATTTCAGAATACTCCAGTACTACAATATAGAGGTGTGCTAATCACTTAACTCTAGTATATAGATTAAAGAAATATGAAAAATAGCTATAGCTTCAATAACTTACTAATAAATGCACAATATAAAAAGATGTAAATTGTGACATCAGAAACATAAAAAGGAAAGAATAAAAGGGTAGAGTTTTTGTATATGATTGAAGTTGTTATCTGTTTAAAGTATACTATTATAACTACAAAATGTTTTGTGTAAGCCTTAAGGTAACCAAAAAGCAAAACCTATAGTAGGTATACAAGAGAAGAAGGGAATCAGAGTATACCACTATGGAAAATCAATTCATTAAGAAAGACAGAAAGAGAGGAAGAAATGAACAAAAGAAGTATAAAATAGACAGCAAATAATCAACAAAAGTCCTTAACTACCAATAATCATTTTAAACATAAATGGATTAAGTTCTCCAAACAAATGGCATAGAGTAGCTGAATGGATTTTTTTTTTAAAAGACCCAACTATATGCTACTAAAGACTCATTTTAGCTTTACTTAGAGTGAGGGGATGGAAAAATATAATCCATGCAAATGGAAACAGAGATTAGAGGTAGCTATACTTCTATCAGACAAAATAATCTCATGTTTAATAGCATGAAAAAGGGCTTGCTTCCACAACACACATACTAAAATTGCAACAATGCAGAGAAGATTAGCATTGCCCCTGTGTGAGGATGGCACACAAATACAATAGCATGAAAAGAATAAAATACTTAGGAATAAAGTTAACCAAGATAGTGAAAGATTTATACATCAAAAACTATAAGACACTGATGAAAGAAACTGAAGAACACAAATAGATGGAGAGATATCTTGTGCTCATGGATCAGCAGAGTAAATTTTGTTAAAATGTCCATTCAATCAAACCCTATCAAAATCCAATGGCATTTCCCACAGAAACAGAAAAGAATCCTAAAATTCTTATGAATCCACAAAAGATCCTGCAGAGCCGAGTAACCATGAGGGGGAAAAAAAAGAACAAAGAGGAAGGCATCACAATTCATTATTTCAAACTATATTATGAAGCTATAATAATCAAGAAACTATGGTACTGGCATAAAAACATACACAAAAATCAGTAGAACAGAACACAGAGCTCAGGAAAAAAAAAAGACAACCCATACATATATGATCAACTAATACTTGACAAAGAAGACGGGACAGTCTCTTCCATAAATGGTATTGGGCACCACCTCAATTCCAAATTCCTTATGATCCTTGCTTTAAATTGTCTACCAGGCATTATTTATGTTTTACTTAGATGTCCAGCTAGGACCTTGTCCTGTTCTTTTATTTGGGATAAATTTCTCTGTCTCCTCATTTTGTCTCCCTCTCTTGTATCTATTTCAGTGTGTTAAAGTCAGTTGTGTTTTCTGCTCTTGAAAGTACTGACTTTACGTAGAAGAGGTCCTAGAATGCCCTGCAGTGCAATATTCCCTGTTCATCAGAACCTGGCACTTCAGCAGAATATCCTATGTGTGGAGTTTATTCCCAGCTATTGTGTCTGAGTCACTTTTCTTTCAGAGTGTTTGTCTGCACTGACTCTCTGCCTGCTGTGGGCTGTCCTTGCTCAATCTGGTGTTAGTGGAACTCAAATAGGCCAGCTCTGAGCGAGGCAATGATCATAAGGTTACTGGACTTGAGAAAAGAGTAGAAGACATGAATGAGACTCTCAACACAAAGATAAGGTATAACATAGCAGAGAAAAAGGACTCAATAAATGAAATGAAAAAAAAAAACTTGATGAAATGTGGCAGAAGCAGAGGAATGAATTACAACACAGAGTAATAGAAAGTAATCAAGCTGAACAAAAGAGAGAAAAAAGCATTACACAAATTAAAAATAGATTTAGGGAATTCAGTGACTCCATCAAACATAATTAATAATGTTTGTATTATAGGAGTCCCAGAATAAGAGAGAGAAAAGGGGGCAAAAAATTTATTTGAAGAAATAATAGCTGAAAACATCTGGGAAAGTAATCTGGGAAAGTAAACATATATCCAGATCCAGGAGACACAGAGAACTCCCATCAAAATAATAAGAGCAGACCCACACCAAGAGATAATGTAATTAAACTTGCAAAATATAGTGATACAGGAAAAAAAGAGCACCAACACAGAATAAGTTACTAACTTACAAGAGAAAACCTATAAGGCTAGCAGGAGATGTTTCAACAGAAAATTTGCAAACCAGAAGGGAGTGGTATGATATTTTCAAAGTGCTGAATGGGGAAATCCTGCAGCCAACAATGCTCTATCCAGCAATGCATTACTCAGAATAGAAGGAGAAAGAGCGTTTCCCAAACAAAACAAAACAAAACAAAACAAAAAAAAGAGGTTCATGACCACTAAACCAGCCCTACAAGAAACACTAAAGGGGACACTTTATTGGAAAAGAGAGACCAAAAATGAAAGTATAAAGGAGAAAACACAAATGCAGTGAAAACAAAAAATTTCTGTAAAAAATCAGGCAAGGAGCTCACAAAGAAAAGGATATAAAATATGACATCATATTCCTAAAACATGGGGAGCAGAGTAGTAAAGAATGGGTTTAAACTTAAGTGTTCATCAACATGATATAGACTGCTATATGCAGAGGAGGTTATATAAAACCCTAATGGTACCATATATCAAAAACCAGTAATAAAAAGGCAAAGAATAAAAGAGAAAAATCCAAATATTTCATTAAGGAAAAACAACAAAACATGAAAGAAGAAAAGACAAGAAAGATACAGAGAAAATATTTCAAAAACAACCACAACTAATAAAATGCCAATAAATACATATCTATCAATAATTACTTTGAATATAAATAGACTAAACACTCCAATCAAAAGATATAGGTTGAGGAATGGAAAAAAAAAAAAGACCTATCTGTATGCTGCCTATAAGAGACTCATTTTAGACCCGAAGACTTCTGAAGATTGAAAGTGAGGGGATGGAGAAATATCTGTCATACAAATGGATGTCAAAACAAAGCTGGAGTAGCAATACTTATTTCACCAAAATAGACTTTAAAACAAATACTGTAACAAGAGAAAAAGAAGGATACTATATAGTAATAGAGGGGACAATCCAATAAGAAGATATAACAATTGTAAATATCTATGTACCCAACATAGGAGCACCCAAATACATAAAACAGTTAATAAAAAATATAAAGAAACTAATTGATAATAATATAATAATAGTAGGGTACATTAACACCACACTCACATCAATGGACAGATCATCTAAACAGAAAATCAACAAGAAAACAATGGCTTTGAATAACACACTGAAATAGATGGATTTAACAGATATATTCAGAGCATTCTACCCTAAAACAGGAGAATATACATTCTTTTCAAGTGCACACGAACGTTCTCCAGAATAATCACATAATAGCCCACAAAACCAGCCTAAAACAATCGAGAAGATTGAAGTCATACCATGCATCTTTTCTGACCACAAGGCTATGAATCTAAAGTCACTTACAAGAAAAAATTCCGAAAAGACCACAAATTCGTGGAGGTTACATGACATGTTACTAAACAATGAACACTTCAACCCTGAAATAAAAAACAGAAATAAAAAAGAACATGGAAAGGAATGAAAATGAAAACACAATGGCATAAAGCCTCTGAGATGCAACAAAAGCAGTTCTAAGAAGGAAGTTAATAGCAGTAACAGGCTTACTTCAAGGAACAAGGAAAAAATAATCAAATACACAACCTAAACTTACAAGCTAGTAAAAGAACAACAAACAAAACCTAAAATCAGCAAAAGGAAGGAAATAATAAACAGTAGAGAGAAAAATGATTTAGAAAATAAAAAAGACAATAGAGCAAATCAATGAAACCAGGAGGGGATTCTTCGAAAAAATTAATAAAACTGATAAACTTCTAGCCAGACTTGTCAAAAAGAAAAGAGAAAGGACTCAAAGTCACAAATGAAAGAGGAGAAATAACAACCAACACCACAGAAATACAAAAAATTATAAGAGAATATTATGAACATCTAAATACCAACCAATTGGATATCCTACAATATATAAATTCCCAGAAGCATATAAACTACCAAAACTGGGGCACCTGGGTGGCTCAGTGGCTTAAGCCTCTGCCTTCGGCCCAGGTCATGATCTCAGGGTCCTGGGATCGAGCCCCGCATCGGGCTCTCTGCTCAGCAGGGAGCCTGCTTCCCCCTCTCTCTCTGCCTGCCTCCCTGCCTACTTGTGATCTCTCTCTCTCAAATAAATAAATTAAAAAAATAATAATAATAAAAAAATAAATAAATAAAATAAACTACCAAAACTGAAACAGGAAGAAATAGAAAATTTGAATAGATTGATACCAACAAAAAAATTAAATCAATAATCAAACACTCCAGACAAACAGAAGTCCAGGACCAGATGGGTTCATAGGCAAATTCTACCAACATTTAAAGAAGAGTTTTTGTTTTTGTTTTTTAATTTTTTTTATTCTTGAGAGACACAGAGACAGAGAGGCAGAGGAAGAAGCAGGCTCCCCTCTGAGCAGGGAGCCTGATGCAGGACTCAATCCCAGGACCCCGGGATCATGACATGAGCAAAAGGCAGACACTTAACCATCTGAGCCACCCAGGCACCCCTTAAAGAAGAGTTAATACCTATTCTTCTCAAACTATTCCAAAAAACAGAAAAGAAAGGAACACTTCCAAATTTATTCTATTAAGGCCAGCATTATCCTGATACCAAAATCAGATAAAAATGCCACTGAAAAAGAGAACTATAGGCCAATATCCCTGATGAACATAGATGCAAAATGGTCAATAAAATACTAGGAAACTGAATTCAATGATACATTAAAAAGAAAAT